GGCGGCGGCGGCGGCAGCAGCGGCTGCACAGGCGGCGGCGGCGGCGGCCGCGGCAGCATCACACACTTACACACTCACAGGGGGCGGAGCCTGGACAGCTAGAAGCCGCGACATGGAGCAGACACTTTATCATTCCTGGATCTGGCAGGGGCCCGCCCCTCCTGCTTGTGCTGCCCGGGACCCCCCACCCTCTCAAAATCAGCCGGTGGGAGCGGCTGCTGAGCTGCGGACCCCGACCCGGCCCGGGACCTGGAGCAGCTGAAGGGACGAAGGAAGAAGGCTTAGCGGGACTCGGACGTGGGTTCAGGGGATGGGACCCTCTCTGTGAGCCCCCACCACCGGCAGTTACTGTTTGCTGGGAGAAAAGAGGGCACAAACTGCCGCAGGGATGGAGATCGACCTAGCTGCTAGCGCGCAGCCCTTGTGAGACTCTCCTCAGACCCCAGCACCACAGCAAACTTTTACGGCCTGAGCGTCCCTCGGGGGGTGCAGCGCAAAGCACGCGTTTCCCGAAGGAGAAGGCGGTCACCTTCACCGTCCCTGCGGCACAGCGCATCCCAGCCCATGGGCATGCCGCAGTGCTGGGCCGGGCCGCGGAGCCTGGCATGCACTTAGTAGGTCAGCAAGCTGTGGGCCCTGGAGTCAGTGAGTTGCAATGGTTGGCACAAATAAGGGCCCTAGGGTTTGAGGTTAGGACCAGAGAAAACCGGATTCCACTGCTACCTTCCTGGGACAGGCACCATGTGCCCTGACCAAAGTGTTCTGTACCTTCCTGCTCCGGTAAATGGGAAAATCGCTGGGTGTGTGTGTATACCAGGCACAGTGGCTGGCTGGCGGCCTTCTGCCAGAGAAGCTGACTGCGTGCGGAGGGCTGAAGGCAGCCTCTTTTCCTTCAGCCTGGCTTCTAGTCCAGGAAGGGGTGAATCACATTAGCTGATTCCCTGGGGGCGGGGGGTTGCCTGCCTGCCCTGGAAGCAAGGGGTGTACAAAGAGCAGGGACCTTTTCTGGCATGTTAGCAACTTGAGCACCCTTTGCCTTCTTCCTGTCCTTGTACTGAGGGAGTACACTGGCGCATTGCTGAAATCTCAGGGCCAGCTGGAGGGGCAGAAGTGGGTGCCCGAAGCTGCTTGTGTGATTCCTTCAAGTCACTTCTCTGTGCCTCAGTTTCCCCTTCCATGAAACTACAGACATGACCCAGAAGCCATCTGGCTCATATTGCTCTGACGTTCTCGTTTCTGTTTGAGTAAGCTTCTCTGAAATTATCTCCTAGTTTCACCATCATCGGAACTACTTATACCTCCCAGAAGGAAGTGAGGGCTCTACCTGGCATTTTGCTCAGGGTCTGACATTTTCCTTGGAAAGGGAACTCACCCTGGAACCTAGAACACGGGAAGCCATCTGGGGCTGGACCCAGTAGAAAGTATCCCTGTCCCAGTCTTGAGTAACTTGAGGATCTGGGTCAGAGGAGCGCTGGGTTCAAGCTCCTTCCATTCACTGTGAGTCATGAACATGTCACGTACAGAAACAGGGCTCTATGATGCAGCAGCTCCAGCCCTGAGTGGGGGCTTCACTACCTGTCTATTTCGGTGAGGACAAGTCCTATGCAAACCCTAACTGACTGATGGAAAATCGACCAATGGGCTGCCAGTGAGACTTCATCTCCAGCTGACTCCTCAGTTTTACCACTCATAGGCTCCTCTGGTCAGAGGCTCTGCTGCGGGTGTTACTGGCTAAAATGGTACCACAGGTTTGCAGATTATCTCTGCACCTTGTTTATCTTCTGTTCTGGATGGTGACCCTTTAAGGTGACAGGAATACCTCACTCAGACCTGTGGTACCTCAGCTTTATGCCCACAGAAAATGATCCTTGAACTGGATTTCATTACTAATAACCATTGTCATCGCGTTGCGAGCCCTATCTGCTTGAAAATCTTTAAGGAAAACCAGAACATCGACAACTAATGTTGAAATGGTGATTATGGTCTCTTTATATCTGGCTTCCTTTTGTCAAGGTTGTATCGATTGGGGAAAGACATAAAAGTAATACACTAGGTAAACACATTTCTAGAAGAAATAAAGCTTCTCCTTTAAGAGTTCCAGACCCCCCTCACCCCACTGGTGCACTTTCTTCCCAATCAGCAGGAGGACCTAGCAGAAGCAGAAGGAGCCAGCAAGAGGCAGCACTCTGAACAGAAGTGCCTGCGGGAAGGAGAGAAGAGACAAGCGGTGCTGGCTGCTGCTTCAAAGAGGGGCAGGGGCATTCCCTTCCTGAGATCAAAACCAAGCAGGAAGCCTGGGCTGGGTGGAAGGAGTTCCCCCTCCCAGCCTCCCTCCTCAGACCAGAGAAGCTAAGAGAAGCAGCAGCTTGGAGAGCTGTCCCTGATGCCAGCCTCAGTCCCGTGCATGCTTCATCAGCGTCAGCTGCAGGGCAGGGGAGATGCTTTGTCTTGTGTGATCCAACTCAAGCTATCTCTCACCCCTCCTGCCCATCCGTGGCTCCAAAGGCAGCAGGAGCTTAGAACCTGGCTGTCAGACCTGTGGACAAGTGTGCAGCATCTGGGCCACGCTTCTTCCCTCCAAATGCTGGCAGGGAGGAAGGGGCCCGGGTCACAGGGAGGGCAGTTCCAAGAGGAGGTAAAAAGCTCTCTGGAGTCAGAGCGCAGGCCCGCTGTCCTGCTGGCAGCTGGGAGTGAGGCAGCCTGTCTCCCCTTGCATGTCCTGAGCCATCCCTGCTGAGACAGTAGTCTTGCTGGGCCTGCTGTTGTCCTGGCTTTGGCTGGAATAGCCCCTTTCTGACCTAGCAGAGACTTCTTCAAGTCCTGGTCTCATAACTCACAGTGCAGTGCTGTAGTTCGGAGAGTCACACACAATCTTCTCTCTTCTCTTTCCATTGCCTTTTTCTGTTCTGACTGCCTCCAGCCCTGGCTTTCATCCATCTCCCCCATTCATAAAACTCTCACCCAAAGGAACCTGCTGGAAGGATGACTGGGCATCTTTTCAGATAGAACAGGATCCAGACTGAGACTCCATGACCCAATCTGTTCAGGTGAAACCAGGAAGCATTTTTAAGAGGCTTGGTGTTGTAGAAATGCTGATTCTGTGATTTTCTGAAGTGAAATTTTCTTTTACTTGAGTTACTTTTGAGCAAGTTTAATTTGCAATCTCCAGGTACTTACTAATCTTTCTTTCTTTCAAAGAACTTGAAACCCTCCTCCATTCATGTAGTTATACTAAAGACACTGTCACACAGGTTCTTGTAGATAGCATCTAAAAATGAAAATTAATTGAAGAAAGTTTCACCGTGCATGTCCGTTCCAGAAAACAAATGAAGTGACAGTATGTGATGCGTGTTTCACTCTGCTGTAGTTCTACTTTCCACTGGAATATTCACCATTTGCTTCTGACCTGTAAGCCGGTCAGGTTGACTTACTGTGGCACATAGTTTCTGGAATAATCCTTGCGAAAAGAGCACTTGTATTTGTTCTAACCTCAAAATATCTGTTCTCTCTTGGTCTACATCATTTCTGAGTCTGTGGCCCTGTGGGTCTGAGTCCATGGCACCACGTCCCAACACAGTGGCAAATGCATAGCAGAGTCAATCCAACCAGTCTCTGTGGAAGTGGCCATCATAGGAGTTGGGTTCAAATCGGCACATGTCAATTGTCTGAACACAGGTTGTGACTTGTGTAATACACCTGCCTACTTTTTCAGAACTCCCAGTTCTACCACTGTGTACTTTGGATCTCAAGCATGTATTGTTGAAAGTCTCTGGGTTGGATTAATGGTTCATTATAGAAAATGATCCCTTTTCAGACCTTCTCCAAAGTCTTTGGCTCTGCATTCCTATTGCATCTCAGTCATCAAACACTAGTATAAATTTAAGAGAATCTTCTGTTTGTTAAGGATTTATAATACTTAAAAGGTGATGCTTTTCTGATTTTACATGCAAGGTTGCCAATACTGCTTACATACATTTACCATGACACTAAAATCGAGTCTAGATATACAAGGCACTGTGCTAAGCACGCTCCATACACTCTTTCATTTGCTGCTCACCGTGAGTCTTTGATATAAGCACTAATACTAATACTGTACCTATTTTTCAAGGTTTTTGGAGGCTGGATACCTCCTTAAAGTCACAGAGTTCGCTAGTGCCGTAACCCTGTTTGTGCCTGAGTAGTTTTGCTGCCAAAGGCCATGCTACCACACCACCTCTCCTCGGCATTCAGGAAATATTTCTCTCACTGTAGCTTTGGAAGGTAATCAAGCAGTTGGCCATCACCTCCATGTGACAGCTGAAGAAACTGAAGATCATATGGTAGCATAGCTGCAGCTCAGGCTGGGATGTGACCATCTAGGTGCCTAATTCAGTGCTTATTTTACCAAGTTATTATTTATAGTCCCTCAGCATCACGGTGAACTACAATACCCTGAGAGTTGGGACTGCAACAGCATCAGTTAACTGTTAGATTAAAAAAAAAAAATTCCCATGGTGCAATTTCCCTGAAGTCAACTGTGTCTGAATTGGGGGAAGCAATTGACTGAGCCATGCCCTTGTGTTAAAGAAAGTTATTCTGATAAGCAACAGGAAGCAAAAATATAATGGAGCAATTTCTTGCTTCATCATTTAAGAGACTCAGACAGATCTTTTTCCTAGAGATTACAAATTTAGAGCTAAGAAACCTGTTTGGTGGACTGCTGGGAGGCAATTGCTGGTGGGCTGCAGGGCAGCCGGAGGGAATGGTCTTCTGCATAAGGCTGTGATGCTCTACTCCTGCAAATCCATGGCTCCTGCCCCTAACTCTCTGGGGCTCCACTCCGTTATCTGTAAGGTAAG